CGGGCCGGGTCGGGCGGGAAATTAAAGTGAGGAGCGCGGTCGGACCAGCACGGGTGAACCCTAACGGGCGGGTCGGGTCGGGTCGGGCGGGACATTAAAATGTGGAGCGTGGGCGGACCAGCACGTGTGAACCCTAGCGGGCGGGTCGGGTCGGGCTGGGCGGGGCACTAAAAGTGTGGAGCGTGGTCGGACAAGCACGTCTGAACCCTAACGGGCGGATTGGGCCGGGTCGGGCGGGACATTAAAGTGGGGAACGTGGCCGGACTAGCACGCGTGAACCCTAATGGGCGGATCGGGTCGGGTCGGGCAGGACATTAAAGTGTGGGGCACGGTCGGACTAGCACGCGTGAACCCTAACGGGTCGGTTCAAGTCGGGTGGGACATTAAAGTGTGGCGCATGGCCGGGCTAGCGTGTGTGAACCCTAACGGGCGGGTCGATTCGGGCCGGGCGGGACATGAAAGTGTGGAGCATGGTCGGACTAGCACGCGTCGGGCGGGCGGGGCATTAAAGTGTAGAGCGTGGTCGGACTAGCACGTCTGAACCCTAACGTGCGGGCCGGGTCGGGCGGGCGGTGGCGCATGGCCGGACCAGCGCGTGTGAACCCGAACAGTCGGGTCGGGTCTGGCGGGCGGGACATTAAAGTGTGGCGCTTGGCCGGGCTAGCTGCGTGAACCCTAGCGGGCGGGTCGGGTCGGGCGGGCGGGGCACTAAAGTGTGGCGCATGCCCGGGCTGTCACTTGTGAACCGTGACGGGCGGGTCGGGACGGGCGGGACATTCAACCGTGGCGCATGGCCGGGCTAGCACGCGCGAGCCGGAACGGGCGGGTCGGGTCGGGCGGGCGGGGCATTAAAGTGTGGCGCATGGCCGGGCTAGCACGTGTGAACCCTAAGGGGCGGGTCGGGTCGGGCGGGCGGGACATTAAAGCATGGTGCGTGTACACTTGACACGCGCGAACACTAACGGGCTGGTCGGGTCGGGTCGGGCGGGCGGGCCCTAACGGGCTAGTCGGGTCGGGTCGGGCGGGCCCTAACGGGCGGGTCGGGTCGGGCGGGCGGGACATTAGAGCATGGTGCGTGTGCGCTTGACACGCGTGAACCCTAACGGGCGGGTGGGGTCGGGTCGGGCGGGCGGACCCTAACGGGCGCGTCGGGCCGAGTCGGGCGGACCCTAACGGGCGGGTCGGGTCGGGCGGGCGGGACATTAAAGCATGGTGCGTGTGCACTTGACACGCGTTAACCCTAACGGGCGGGTCGGGTCGGGTCGGGCGGGCGGACCCTAACGGGCGAGTCGGGTCGGGTCGGGCGACCCTAATGGGCGGGTCGGGTCTGGCGGGTGGGGCATTAAAGTATGGTGCGTGTACATTTGACACGCGCGAACCCTAACGAGCGGGTCGGGTCGCGTCGGGCGGGCGGGCCCCAACGGGCAGGTCGGGTCAGGTCGGGCGGACCTTAACGGGCGGATCGGGTCGGGCGGACGGGACATTAAAGTATGGTGCATGTGCACTTGACACGCGTGAGCCCTAACGAGCGGGTCGGGTCGTCGGGCGGGCGGACCCTAACGGGCGAGTCGGGTCGGGTCGGGCGGACCCTAATGGGCGGGTCGGGTCTGGCGGGTGGGGCATTAAAGTATGGTGCGTGTACATTTGACACGCGTGAACCCTAACGAGCGGGTCGGGTCGTGTCGGGCGGGCGGGCCCCAACGGGCAGGTCGGGTCAGGTCGGGCGGACCTTAACGTGCGGATCGGGTCGGGCGGACGGGACATTAAAGTATGGTGCATGTGCACTTGACGCGCGTGAGCCCTAACGAGCGGGTCGGGTCGTGTCGGGCGGGCGGGCCCCAACGGGCAGGTCGGGTCGGGTCGGGCGGGCCCTAACGGGCGGGTCGGGTCGGGCGGGCGGGGCGTTAAAGTACGGTGCGTGTGCGCTTGACACGCATGAACCCTAACGGGCGGGTCGGGTCGGGCGGGCGGACCCTAGCGGGCGGGTCGGGCCGGGCCGGGCGGACCCGGGCGGGTCGGGTCGGCGGGCGGGGGCATTAAAGTATTGCGCGTGTGCATTTGACACGCGTGAACCCTAACGGGCGGTCGGGTCGGTCGGGCGGGCGGACCCTACTGGCCGGGGGTCGGGTCGGGTCGGGCGGGTCGGGCGGGCGGACCAACGGGCGGGTCTCATACGGGCGGGGCAACGGGCGGGTCGGGTCGCGCGGGCGGGGCATTCAAGTACGGTAGCGTGCGCACTTTGACACGCGCGAACCCTAACGGGCGGGTCGGGTCGGGTCGGGCGGGCGGACCCTAACGGGCTAGTCGGGTCGGGTCGGGCGGACCCTAACGGGCGGGTCGGGTCGGGCGGGCGGGACATTCACAGCATGGTGCGTGTACACTTGACACGCGGAACCTAATGGGCGGGTCGGGTCCGGTCGGGCGGCCGGACCCTAACAGGCGAGTCGGGTCGGGTCGGGCGGACCCTAATGGGCGGGTCGGGTCTGGCGGGTGGGGCATTAACAAATGGTGCGTGTACACTTGACGCGCGTGAACCCTAACGGGCGGGTCGGGTCGCGTCGGGCGGGCAGACCCTAACGGGCAGGTCGGGTCGGGCCGGGCGGGCCCTAACGGGCGGATCGGGTCGGGCGGGCGGGACATTAAAGTATGGTGCATGTGCACTTGACACGCGTGAACCCTAACGGGCGGGTCGGGTCGTGTCGGGCGGGCGGGCCCTGACGGGCGGGTCGGGTCGGGTCGGGCGGACCCTAACGGGCGGGTCGGGTCGGGCGGGCGGGACATTAAAGTATGGTGCGTGTGCACTTGGCACGCGTGAGCCCGAACGGGCGGGTCGGGTCGGGTCGGGCGCGCCCTAACGGGCGGGTCGGGTCAGGCGGGCGGGACATTAAAGTATGGTGCGTGGTCGGGTCGGGTCGGGTCGGGCGGGCGGGCCCTAATGGGCGGGTCGGGTCGGGTCGGGCGGACCCTAACGGGCGGGTCGGGCCGGGCGGGCGGGGCATTAAAGTATGGTGCGCGCGCACTTGACACGCGCGAACCCGAGCGGGCGGGTCGGGTCGGGCGGGCGGAACCTAACGGGCTAGTCGGGTCGGGTCGGGCGGACCCTGACGGGCGGGTCGGGTCGCGCGGGCGGGGCATTACAGAATGGTGCGTGTGCACCTGACACGCGTGAACCCTAACGGGCGGGTCGGGTCGGGTCGGGCGGGCGGACCCTAACGGGCGGTTGGGGTCGGGCGGGCGGGGCATTAAAGTATGGTGCGTGTACACTTGACACGCGTGAACCCTAACGGGCGGGTCGGGTCGGGTCGGGCGGGCGGGCCCTATTTCGTCTGGGTCCCCATTTGCACGTCCGCGTCGGATGCTGGTTCGAAGAGCTACCGACTATTTCGTCCAGCGGCCTTCTTAGATGACCCGAAGTTAGACGGGTTCATCGTTTCGCCATCCTCCCCCATGCCCATGCGTCTGTGAAGTTCCATTCGCAAGTGTATGAGCTTGATGTCTGGCGCTTCGGATGCCCCACCTCTGCCCTCGGCCGTTCCGATTGGCCCGCGCTCCCTGTCCCCCCCAACTGGACTGCTGAGGAGCAGTCGGCCACGGAGGTACTGGGGGCCGCCAGGTCTGGGCCCCAGGAGATTGGAAGTGCGCTTGCGAAGCTCTATCGAGTCTGGGCTGATAAGTCTCAGCGCGAGTTGCGCTGGGCCCTTCAACGCGACCCCCCTAAAGCTGGCTGCAGGGGTGATGTTCCGCAGACTTAGTGGGATTACATTCGCGAGCGAGACCGCCGCCCCTGCGGGCGCCCGCAGCTGCATGGCGCTCGCTGGTTGCGCCATGCCTCCTCGCGCAGGCGACAGTTGAGGTGACCGCCGCCGGGCGTTACCACTCATCGATCCTAGCGGCGGCATGTGAACGTGGGTCGCGGTGCCGCGGCAGCCCAATCGGATGCCACCTACCAGACGCCACTCCTGAGGACTTTAGTGGGAGGGAGCTCGCCGACGGTGGCACCTTCAACTCTTAGACATATGCACTGAACCCTGGCAATTGTATCAGGGACAAGTTTGTTTCAAGTCTTCGCGGCTGTTGTCGCATGTCGAAGATTGTTTCGTCTTTTTCGACCTGTTGAGCAGGCCGGCTCTCTTCTCGCGCGCCAGGAGGGGTACTGGAAACTGTCTTAGGGCCATCTTAAAGCCTCTTGGATGTGTGGCGGAGGCTATATTGAGCCATCTTGTGGTATCTTGGTTAATATTGGAGACTACCTTCAACTCGCGGAGGTCTTCTTGGAGCCATTTTGGACCAGGGGAGGGGGCAGGGGGAGGGGTAAACGCTTCCCCGGGCAGGAGAAGCAGGGGTTTCAGCAGAGAGAAGACACAAGTTCTCCAAACCACCTACGCTCAGAGGGCTCGTGGGATTTGGAGGGAGGGTGTATTGCAACAACGTTGGTACGTCATGGGTTTACACTGGTTTTCCTCCTCCTGTTTCTCCTCCTCCTCCTCCTCCTCCTCCTCGTCCGCCTCCTCCTCCCTCCTCCTCCTCCTCTCCTCCTCCTCATCCTCCTCTCCTCTCCTCCTCCTCTCCTCCTCCTCCTCCTCCTCCTCCCCTTCCTCCTCCTCCTCCTCCCTCCTCCTCCTCCTCCTCCTCCTCCTCCCCTCCTCCTCCCTCCCCCCCCCCTCCTCCTCCTCCTCCTCCTCCTCCTCCTCCTCCTCCTCCTCCTCCTCCTCCTCCTCCTCCTCCTCCTCCTCCTCCTCCTACTCCTGACCCATAGCCACACCCTCGCGGAGTGAACTCCAGGGGGCAATGCCTTGGATAATCACGCGGTCTCGTGGGTGGTTTCCGCGCGGGGGCATCCGCACATGGGGTCGCGGCCCAGGGGCTTCGCCCGCGAGGCGGCGGATATGGATGCGTGTGTCCCGTCTGCGATTTCTGGAGTCGCATGCCTCCCCGTCCCCGCTTGTGGCTTTTGAGCCAGCAGGAAGCAGTTCCCGTGGTGGCACCCGCGGCGCCTTGAGGATCAGCAGTTCAAGTCGACCCTGAAGGCGGGCAGCCTCGCGGGCACGATGCGGGGGGGGGCCAGCTTGATGGGCACCATGAACTCGTTCGGGGGCACCATGAATCTCGGAGTGTCGCGGGCTCATTGGGGGCGGTGGCCCGTTGCAGTCCCACGCCGTCCCCCCCCCTCCCTTCGAGCCTCCTCATGGACCGTTCGTCGTCGTCCTGTTCGCCTCCCCTCCTCCCCCTCCTTTTCTGCCGCCTCCCCTGCGCCACCGAATCCTGATGGAGACCCATCCCATTCCACTCCCCTCCTCCACCCCCTTCCTACGCCTCCTCCTCTCTCCGTCCTCCCCCTCTGCCTAAGCACCTTGCAACTGCCTCCCCCTTATCCTGGCATTGTCGTTTCGATCCTCGGTACAACTCTCTTCCCCTTCTTCCCTCGCCCCCTCTCCCTCCCAGTCCGTCCCCCCTTCCCCCTCCCTTGAGACATCCTGCGCCCACCCTCCACCAGAGAAAAAGAGATAGAAAGAGACAGACACAGAGAGACAGAGACAGCGAAAGAGAGAGCGCACTTCATGGAGCCCCCCAACCCAAGGGCCGGTAAATGACTTCTGTGAATGCCGATCTCGCCCTTAAGAACTCTGAAACATGTGACCATCCCTCATCCCAAGCCCCCCTCCATTTTCCTCTCGCGTCTCCTATCCATCCTTTTGGCCCTCTCTCTCTCTCTTTTTTCTCTGTCTCTGCCCCCTCTCTCTCTCACTCTCCATCTCTGCCATTTCCACTTCCCTGGCCCTCCCTCTCTATGCCTGCTCCTCAGTCTGCCGTCGTCCCGGGCGGCAGGCCCGCGACATATGCCCCCCGGCAGCCGCTCTCGCTGCCAGCGCATCGCCAGCGGTCACGTGGCAATGGGCGTACTTGCGCCCCGGAAGCAACGATCCCGATATTCGGTGGCCACATGTGAAAACTGCCCCCCCCCCCCCCCCCCCTACGCACGATTTCTAAGGGTGGGCGGGGGTTCACTTCGTTGGGGCACCCGAGAAAGCAAGGCAGCTGCTTGTCGTCGTTTTGGGCGTCTGGGGGCCCCTCGCTGGGCCCCGGCATTGTCGAAAACGAGCCGGGACGAAAAGCGAGTCACCAGGCAGTGGTCTAGAGCCCTGGAAGCCGCGCGTGGGGGGGGGGGGACAAAAACAAAGCGTCGGAGGTCTTGGCCTTCTGATCCTTCTATCACCTCGCCCGCCTCCTCCGCCCCCCTCGCCGCACCCTGGGCTGATCCTCCGCGGCCCCCTCGCCGCCGCGCGTCGCGGGCCTCAGCCAGGAGGCGCGGCTAGGGGCTAGATGGCCCACCCAGCCCGGGAGCGTGACGATTCGCGTGGGCGGCCTGTAGCTAATCCGTTGTTCGAGGTTTCCCCCCTGAGCGTGTCTCCCCCCTCCTACGTTTCACCTCAGCGCCCCTGCCAGAACAAGGCGCGACGACCGAGCCATGCACTCAAGGCACCTCTCTTCCTCCTCTTCGTCCCCCTGCCGCCACCTTCCTCTTGCCTTCTCCATCTCGCCCTCTCTCCTCCTCCATATCCTCCTCTTTTGTTCCGCGCGGAGCCATTTAGGCTCAACGTTTTGGTGTTGACGACAGCGAAGCGCCTGCCGCTGACCCTAGCATCTCCTTTTTCCCAGCGCTGGTCCGCCCCTGATGCTGGCTGCCTCGCGTGCCCGCGGGGGGGAAATCAACGTGTCCTTTCTCATTTCCCCCCCGAGGTCGGTGGGTCGGCTCCCGTGGGTTCGCGTCCCTCGCGGCGGTGAGCCGGTCATGTTCCGCATGAGTCGCCCGAACCCGACCTGCACGCACTCCCTTTGTGCGACGATGATTTCTGGTTCAAGCGTGGGCAGCGCGCCAGCTTCGCATCGCCGAGGAGATCCCGCCCACCGGTCGGAACGCAAGGGCACGTCCAACTCCCAAAACCACCAGATGCGCCAGGCACAGCCAGTGTCTGACGAGGGGGCGCTCGAGAAGACTCTGGCAGTGGTCCGAGAGATCGCAGACAGTTTACGACATGCTCAGACGCATAAGCTTCTCGCTAACCTTTTGCCTGCAACGGCCTCCTAGAGTTTTTCCGCAATTCAGTCCGAATGTCACAGGGCGGCGCAGGACAAAAACGCGTCCAAGGATAATCTCGAGAAGGCCTTGGGCAGGCGCGCAACTTTCGCCAGGGGTGCTGAGGATCTGATCAAAAAGTTCGATGCACTCATGGCGTAGGATCTGGCCAATGGGCGTCTTTGCGGAGGCCATCCAGCAGTCGTTCGGCAGCTGGCGCGCCCAAGCAGCTCCTGCAGCTTTCGCCGGCTAAGAAAGACATTTTCTGTTGATAGATTCAAAGGTTCGCCCAGTGAGCTCGCGTTGATTTCGACGATTCCCTGGACTTGGGCGGGCCCGCGTCTTCATCGGAACGCGACAGGGAGAGCGCCGACTCTGCCCAGAAAGAGCAACCCATTCACGCCGAGACTTGTCTCACACGGTTTGGGATTCCATCAAGGCTCAGGCTGTCGCCAGAAGCTGGTGTTGCCCCGACAGTTGGCGCGGATGATGCGGCGGCCAGTCAGCCCGAACCCCGTGGGGCGCCAGCTGCAGCTTCGCCCTGGCCCACGTCTTTGACCCTAGACGAGACGGCTGCCAGGGCTGCTACGGCCAGAGCCAGGGCAGCGGAGCGGGCCAAGGCGTCTCCGACCAAGGCCAAGGCTCAGATGCACGAGCCTGAGCTTGGTCATCGTGGTCGGGAGTGGCGATGACGACGCCTGCCCCGCTGCCTCTGCCGCGCGTTCCGTCGGCGTCGCGGTGCGCCCCTGCGTTTCCTCCATTTTGTTTGGGCCGCGCGCGAGTCGCTGCTGCTCCGCGCTGACGCTGTCGACTGTTGCGCTGCCCTCGCCGCGCCCCCAGCCGCGCTGGGCGCGCCCGCGGGGCCCGAGGAGGCTGCGATTACGCCTCGTCAGGGCCCGGACTTATTCCGGGGCCGCGGCGCGGGGCCTCGCCGCGCTGAGTTGTCACCACCCACCAAACCACCCCAACCCAACCCGAAGGCCCAAAATTATTTTCGATTTCCAGTGTAGGGGGGGGGGTCGGGGAACACTGACAAAACACATGGAACCCGTGCCCCCCCCCAACCCGAAATTCGATTCAAATTCGGGTCTTCGGGTTGGGTTGGGGTTGTCTGGCAGGTAATTGGTTGGAGGTTAAATGTTTGAACGGAGCCCCCCATGCATCCCATCGGCGGCTTCTAGGGCGCGGGCGGCTGGCCCCATGGGCGCGCGCGTGTCCGCGGCACTCTCCAACCGAACGCTCGGTTCCATGGGCGGCCCTTTTGCCGGCGGCGGCGGCGAGGGTGGCGGCGGGCCCGCGCGCGCTACTTTCATGGAGGCCACCTGCGCCCGTTGGTCGCCCGTTGCGTCATCCCTGGTTTCGCGCCCTTCGAGGGGCTCCAAGTCAGGTCGGCCCTGCCTCATCATGTGGCCCTCCTAATCTTGCGCTTCCGCCTGCGGCCCGGGCGCCGACGGCGGCGCCGCGGATCGGGGTGGCCGCGTTCCCGCCATTATTTTCAAGAGCGAAGCTGAGCCGCGGCGTTCTGGCGGCGCCCCTGCTGGCAGCGCGCCCGCGCGCGCCCAGTGCCCCACCGATTTGGGCGCGCCCTTCCGCCGGCGCTTGGGGACGGAAGGGGGCCGGGCCCCCGCCGCCGGGGCATCCAGCCCCGGCGCTGCCCGAGCCAGCTCGGGCTCGCTTCATCTGGATGGCCGCCATGTCTCGGTGGAGTGCCAGGTGTCTCTGTCGGCCTGGACGGGCGATTTGCCGACTTGGACGGACGAGCACGCCACGGGCGCGACCGCGCCCCTCAGCCTGGACGTTAGCAGGCCCCTCAGGGAAGCGCTCGTCAACGCCCGTGCTCAGCGCGGTTCGGCGGTTGAGGCGGCCCCGCGGGCGCGCGAGGAGACCCGGCGGCGCGGCCGCGGTTGGCGTCGCAGGCTTGCCAGCGCGATGCGGCCTTTGACGCGCGCGCCCCAGGGGGCGCATGCTGCGCGCCACTGGCAAGGGCTCAGGCGCGAGCTCGACGTGCGCCGCTGGACCAGGGGCCTCTATCACCTACGTGGCCAGGGCGATGGAGTTCGCGCCGGCTCGGGATATCTACCAGCATCCACCTCGGGCAGTCTATGCCAAGATATTCTGTTGGGCGGACAAGGTCTCTGCGAGCCGTTTTTGTGCCGAGTTTACGCCGAGTGCTCTACCTCGCCATCCTGTTGGCCCACCCTCGGCTTCGCGGCGTCTGCAGCGCCCGGGCGGGCCCTGGCGCCACCCGGCGCGGCCGGGTCCACGCCGCGCCCCGCGCGAGGCCCGCGCGGCACTCGACGCGCAGGCCGCGAAGGCACGGATTCCACCGCGAGTCCTGCGGCGAGGGTTTCGGCATCTTGGGCAGCGGGTCGGCGTCGGGCGGATCGCGCCCCAGGCGGCCCCCGCGCCCTGGCAAGAGGTGGGGCAGGGCATGACCGACATCCTCGACGAGCGCAGCGAGCGCGCGGCCAGCGTGGACGACAACGAGCGTGACAACGCGTGGGCTTGCGACCGGTGTGACTTGATGAGGATGAGGTACCTCCACCAGCACGCGATGGTGGACCCCGACTGGGCCATTCGGCTCGACGCGTCGCCGCGTGGCGCGGCGGCGTGGATGTGGGGCCGCGCAGCGGCGGCCTTCCCAGCGCGCTTGTCCGCTCCGCGCTACCTGCCGCTGTCGGCGGACACGAAGCCGCCGCGTGTCTTTCCTGCGGTCAAAGGACAATGTTGCCCCCCCCATCGGTGAGCGCACATCTCACAAGCCCTTCCATAGTTGCTTCCGCAAAGTTGTGAGTTTTTCCCAGGCACCAGGCACGTGCGACTTTCGAGTCATCGGTCAAGCAGCTCGCGATCCGCTGTCGCGCAGTGGTCTCGGTTCCGAAGTCTTCAATGCGAACTTGGCAGCTCATGGGGTCCGACTGTTCAGAGGATTCTTGCCCCAGAAGTTAGCCGCCCGCTGTGTTCGTTGTTCCCAGGCCACGTCAGATATCAGCGTCATAGTTGCAGATGCCGATCAGGCCATTGAGCAGCGCAGCGCGTCTACGATCTCCGCGCCCTGGCAGGGCGCGGCTTCGGAGGTTGCTCGGGGGCTAGGCGGGCGCGACCCTCGTAGAACAGTCGCGCGCGCCCAAGACGCGGCCCTGGACTGGCTCGACACCCCCTGGATGGTTCAAGGTTTCGATATGTTGGCATTCATAAAGCTCTGGTGGCTTTTCCCTGGATTTATCTAGTATCGCTGGGTGGCATCATTTGTGAATTGAAGCGTTTATCGATAGGGGGTGTGTTTTCAGGAATGGCTATTTCTCTCTTCGTGTGTTGGTTCGAGTTTCGAGCTCAATGCGATGGGGCTCGGCCGGGTGCTGATGGGCCCCGACTGCTTCCAGGTCGCGAGCGGCTTGCCCTCGGCCAACGCCGCTACGTGGATGACGTCCTCGGCATGAGCACACATTATTGTCGAACATGGACCTCTCAATACCTTGGGGAGCTCCACCCTGTGCGCCTCAGCCCTGCATCAAGTATCGAGGGCCCAGTAGAACCGCGCACGTGGGTCGACTTAGACATCCAGGCAGTAGGACCGTCAGTTGTCACACCCCCGAAGCAGACCGCAGCTGTCAGGCGAAGGGAGTTCACGTCCTCGGGCCAATATCATCGCGTGGCCAGACGAACCCCCTAGGGAGTTCTCGGATGTGGCCTCCTTATTGGCCAGCAGATTTGCCCGTGCCCAGTATCTCAAGCTATCTGTAGATGCTAGGGGATGGGCCCTGGAGGTGGCCTTAGAGCTATCCCTCATGGGCATCCTCTCGACCCTGTTCCCGGCGGCCGCCCATCGTTTTAGTTCGCAGGGTTCGGGCAGCGCGGCGCATTTGGCGATGCCACCTCAGACATCCGACGCGCGACCCTCAGCGCATCGCGGGGAGGGGCCATGAGCGTCGCCAGGGCAATGGGTCGTGGAAGGGCAACAGTGGCCACGACGAGCGCGATCGCGATCGCGACCGTGATCGGCGTGGCCATCAGGAGAGCAACCGCGCGCACGAGCGCCAGGGTCGTGACTGCCGGGGCAAGAAGGGCCGCAAGGACTACAGCCCTGAGCACGATCGGAGCCGCGATCGCGGTCGCGGCCGCAACCGCCGCGACGACAGCAACGACGGCCGCGACAGGTCCCGCCGGCAGTTCCTCCATGACAAGAAGTGCTGCGAGCGGGAGCTCGAGCCGCGCGAGCAGGGTGCGCACGTTGCGTCGGCCTTATCATCCGCTTTCAAGAGCCAGCCCGAGGAGCTCCGCAAGGCTGTGGCGCCATATGGGCGCCAACCTACGCCTCCAGTTCGCTCGGCGTCCCCGCAGCGTGGCTCATCTACTCAGTTGTCGCGATCGGAGCTAGGTTGGGTTCAGACCATCGCGGGGTCGAAGACGAAGCTGCCCCCCACAGGCAGTCGCGAGGAAGTTCAGGCGGCCCTGGCCAAGACACTCGCTTCGGACAAGCATGCCACAGGTTCCGCCGATAAGGTTATCCTCGCCAATCACCCTGGGAATCAGCTCCCAGGCTCACGCTAAGACTCGGCCGCAATCCTCGTAGATATCGTGCTTGACAAGCTGGGGTGAATCCAGGCAGCCAACAACGCAGCTGAGCTTCTACATGGTGCGCTGGGCGAGCCAGGAGTGCAGTCGCGATGGCAGTGGCGCGTTCTTTCAGTCCTCGCAGGGGCCATCGTCGGCCTCTTTCTATACTTCGTACTTCTAGAAAGGGGGACCCGCCACATTCAAGTTCTCAAATCATGCTGGGTGCTGAACTGGTCCCATGTCCGTGGGGCTTCTGCTATTCAGATGCACTTTCAGCGTGAGTTACTTGTTGCGGCTTTCAGTTCAGGGGACAGCGCTCCAGTCCAGAGCGCAGTTTCAGGAACCATGGGGATGGTTCTCAGTAGCGCAATAGGTTTTGCGAGAGGAGGTCCTGCGTTTCCGCCCTGTGGGCCCTCTGCCTGCAGATACCCCCCCCCGAGGATCCACCGTCGTAAAGTGCTAGAGTTTCACGCATTTGAAGTGCCGATAGGTGGGGCACTCCATAAATGTATCCTTCCCTCCCGCACCTCTGACCTCTTAATGACCTCCTAAAGCTTCTATCCTCTCCTCCCTCTCCTCACCCTTTGCTTCTGACCCACACATGAAGAAGGGGTGTTGGCCACGACCAACGCGGTGCGCAGATGGTTCCCCCCCCCCGTCGCGTTGACTTCCCCTCTCCCACGCGACGCGCCCAAAGGCGTCTCGTGAGTTCACCGGGCCACATGTCGCGTGGGCATGGAGGGTTTTTTTCCCGCCTCACTCTTGTTGTTGTTCGCAGCAGGGACGCCCCTGTCTGGTATGTACGTGCCCATCGTGAGGGGCGGCGTCCAGGTGCTTGGGAGTGCCCCGTAGGGCCGACGGTAACATTTTCTCTCAAGAGGGTTAATTTCTTTCTTTTTTTGTATGTTTTTTTTTCTCTCTCCCTCTCCTCTCTGTCTCTCTCTCTGGCTCTCTCTTCCACCCGCACATTATGACTTACATATCCTAATGATCCTCGTCTACCTCTCATGCCCCCGTGGTTCGGCTGCCCTGTCTCGCCCGCTGCCGTTTCTGACCGGGACGACTCCGGGAAGCAAGGTGCCCACGGCACGCTCACGGCACCTTGGTTTGGTGCCCCCTCTCGACGAGAGGGCCTGGGTCACGTTTCCGAGAAACTGTTGTGGTGCGTTCTATCGGCAGGAGCTTGGATATTGCTGCAGTCCCATCACACATGTTACGCAATCGTCGACTATATATACTAGAACCATCGCGCGCGCTTCGCGCGCGCTCAGGTTCTAGCAGGCCCCAGGCCTTGACAAATTCACTGCTCCACTGAAGTAGTGGACCGCAGTCCACGCATGCCAATCTGCATTCCGAAAGGCCTTCGAGGAAAATGGTTGCGTAGGGGGGCGGGGGCTGTATGAATCGGGTTCCCAGAAGGCCCTGTGGGCGCATGGGTTTGGGGCGTCTTTGGATCCTGTTGGGGCGTGCCGTCGTCGTCGTCGTCGTCGTCGTCGTCGTCGTCGTCGTCGTCGTCGTCGTCGTCGTCGTCGTAATGTCGTCGTCGCCTATTGGGGCGCGCCGTCGTCGTCGTCGTCGTCGTCGTCGTCGTCGTCGTCGTCGTCGTCGTCGTCGTCGTCGTCGTCGTCGTCGTCGTCGTCGTCTCGTCGTCGTCGTCGTCGTCGATTCAAGGGGGCACTTGGGGCGACTTTGTGCGAAACGATCTGCGGAGGGCCGCGAGAAGGCGATCAGTCATGTTCCCAATCAACTTCCCAGACAGCTCTCCTGTAGCATGATGGTACTTCGAAGCCTCTGGAGACTAGCGGGCCCATGATGAACCATGTCCCAAGAGGGCTTTCTGGGGACATGGTTTGTTGGGGTGTGTTGGGGGGTCTCTTGTGCGTTCCCTGGGCCCCTTGGGGGCTTCCGCGAACTCTCGGGCCCATGATGAACCATGTCCCCAGAAGGTTTTCTGGAAACATGATTTCTTGGGGTGTGTTGGGGGGCCTCTTGGGCGGAGCCCCTTGGGGGTCTCTTGGGGCTTTCTGGGGGCCTCTTGGGCGCCTCACGGGGCTTCGTGGGGGCCTCTTGGTGGCCTCCAGGGGCCTACAGGCTGCCTCTAGGGCCAGAGACCTCGAAATATCGGTTGGCGGTCCCCCTCTAGGCCCTCTCTTGGGGAGCTCTTGGGGCACAGTTGGGTTGTCTGGGGAGCCTCCTGGGCCGTCTTGGGGCCTCTTCGGGGCCTCCTGGCCCGTCTTGGAGCGATCTGAAGGGCCTCCGAGCGAGGCCGTCAGGGAACGCTGGGAAGCGGGGAAAGCGAGAACGCCCAAATTCTTCAAAAACCATCGGAAAATGAGTCAATCTTGCCTCCCAGGGCCCTCTTGGGGAGCCTCTTGAGTCCGTCCTGGAGCGTGTTCGAGTCCTCGTCTGTGATAGATGGGCACATTCGTTAAATATAGGCTCAGCACTTAGAGGGCGAGTCTAGTTCTGACCGTGATTCGCCCTATGGCTCAAGGGATAAACATCTGCCTTCTCCTCCTGCTGCCACAGTTGGTAGCGGAGCGCGGTCTCGGCAGGTGGCCATGGGCAGCGGCGGGCAGCCTTGATCGGTGCGCCCGGCCCCTTGCTCGCGAGCCACTGCCGCGGCTGCGCTCAGCGCACTGGGAAGTGTGGGGATCCACGGCGATGCCCGACGACGGAGTGACGGGCGAGAAGGGCACCACCCCTGGCGACGGTGAGCGAGGCGGCGGGAGCGCAGGCAGCGCGGCGCCTCCAGGACCGAGACAGCCAGGAGTGACCCCTGAGCTCTTGGAGCTGGTGAAGAAGTTAGTCGCCACGACTATGAGGGAGAGCCAGTCCCAGGAGTCTCAGGCAGCAGGACGACAGACATGGAGTGGCTGGAACGAGCCCAGCATCGACCCGTGGTCCGCTCAGGACCCATGGTCACAGGCCCGGCCAGGCTGCGGGACCCAGGAGTCTCAGGCAGCCGGCTCGGCGGGCGACGGCTCGAACCAGCAGCAG